CGAGGCGTAGCTGGCAAGCGGCAGAGACGGAGCAGGCCGACCACCAGCTGGCCCAGCCCAAGGGAGGTAAGGCACCCGCCGGAAAAGGGGGGAAAAAATGGCGGACAAAAAAAATGGCGGACAGCCTTGCTTGGCGACCCCCGTGAAATGGTCGATCGACCCCAAATGGGGTCCCGACCCACAGGTTGAGAACCACTGGATTAGTTGCTCTTCTCTGAACTTTTTCCAAACTCTCAACATCTTTTTTGTGACATGGCAGGGGGTCTTCAAGCTTGGCCCTTTTATGTCTTGTTGGATTTCCACTCCCAGAATTGCACTTAACAAATCGTCTCGCTTAGCAACAGAAACGTGGGGCTGGGTTGTGGCTGTAAGTCGGGGACTGCCTGTTTCCGGAGCATTGACTCGGGGTCACCGATTGCCGGTCCCTGTTTCCACGGGCAGAATCTCCTCCGTTTTCCGTGTGGGATTTCGGGGCTGGGCTGTGCGGCTGCAGCCTGTCGCTGGGGCCGCAACGGTGCCTCAGCTTAGCGGACAACATTGCGGGTTTTTGTGAACTCCAGGCTCTCTCCTGCCGCTCCTCCACACACCCTGGGCTGTTAACTTCCTTGGCAAAAGGTCTCAGTTTGTTGCGGGTACAACAGACAGTTGTGTCTAAGATTGTGTGTTTGCCCGTTTGTTCAGTTTCTCAGTTCAGTGCAGGTTAGGTTCCTGGCGTCCTTCCCTGTCAACACCGACAACCAACAACTCCCAGGCAGTTTCGGCCAGGTCAGTTGTAATGAAGGCAGGCTTGAGGAGGTCTCTGACTCTGGGTCAAGGTCAGGGGTGGGCAGGTATGGCCCCTTGATGACCTGTGGCCTTCAACTCCCAGAACTCCTGAGCCAGCCACGCTCGGGAATTCTGGGACTTGAACTCTACCAGTCGTGAAGGGGCCATGTTTGCCCACCCCTGGTCTAGGTGAAAGTTTGGTTTGGGAGACTCTTGGGGTTTGACAGAATAACAGACTTGGAAGGGACCTTGGAGGTCATCTAGTCCAACCCCCTGCTCAGGCAGGAGACCCTCTACCATTTCAGACAAATGGCTGTCCAGTCTCTTCTTAAAAACTTCCAGTGTTGGAGAAGGGAGGGAGGGAGGGAGGGAGGAAGGAAGGAAGGAAGGAAGGAAGGAAGGAAGGAAGGAAGGAAGGAAAAGAATAACACAGTTGGAAGGGACCTTGGAGGTCTTCTAGTCCAACCCCCTGCTCAGGCAGGAAACCCTACACCATTCCAGACAAATGGCTGTCCAGTCTCTTCTTAAAAGCCTCCAGTGATGGAGCAGCCACAAATTCAGGAGGCAGGTTGTTCCACTGGTTAATTGTTCTGTTAGGAAGTTTCTCCTTAATTCCAGGTTGCTTCTCTTCTTGATGAGTTTCCATCCGTTGCTTCTAGTTCTGCCTTCAGGGGCTTTGGAAAATAAGTTGAACACCCCCCCCCCTCATCTTTGGGGCAGCCCCTGAGATATTGGAACACAGCAATCATGTCCCCCCTCGTCCTTCTCTTCATTAAATTAGACCTACCCAATTCCAGCAACTGTTCCTTATATGTTTTAGCCTCCAGTCCCCTAATCATCTTTGTTGCTCTTCTTTGTACTCTTTTTTACATCGTGGTGACCAAAACTGGACGCTGTATTCCAAGTGTGGCCTTACCAAGGCCTTGTAAAGCCATATTAACACTTCACCTGATCTTGATTCTATCCCTACCCCCTAGTTCAGGTGTGGGCCCGACTTGTTCATCTTCTTGTGCACCACAAATAGGGACTTTCTCCGGTTCCAGCAGTAATTGCCCTGGTCTAGATTGAACCATAACAGCCTGGTTGTATTTTGGCATCTAGTTTCTCAAATATTGTGATATGAAACTGGAGATAAATCCAATCCAGACGCCCTCATGACCAACAGAACGTGCAGCGTGCCATCCCTGCAGGAAGGTTAGAGGATAGAATAAGAGAGTTGGAAGGGACCTTGGAGGTCTTCTAGTCCAACCCCTTGCTCAAGCAGGAGAACCTATACCAGGGGTAGGCAACCTTGGCTCTTTTATGACTGGTGGACTTCAACTCCCAGAATTCCTGGGCCAGCATGACTCAGCTTGGAAACCTCCCCCTTTCCCCTCAGCATGGCTGGCTCAGGAATTCTGGGAGTTGAAGTCCACGAGTCATAAAAGAGCCAAGGTTGCCTACCCCTGCTCTAGGCCTTGGCTGTTTTATGACTCGTGGACTTCAATTCCTGAGCCAGCATGGGGGAACTATGGCCCCCTCATGACTTGTGGACTTCAACTCCCAGAATTCCTGAGCCAACATGGCTCAGCTTGGAAACCTCTCCCTTTCCCCTCAGCATGGCTGGCTCAGGAATTCTGGGAGTTGAAGTCCACGAGTCATAAAAGAGCCAAGGTGGCCTACCTCTGGCCTAGGCCCCTTCATGACTGGTGGACTTCAACTCCCAGAATTCCTGAGCCAGCATGGCTCAGCTTGGAAACTCTCCCTTTCCCCTCAGCATGGGTGGCTCAGGAATTCTGGGAGTTGAAGTCCACCAGTCATAAAAGAGCCAAGGTTGCCTACCCCTGCCCTATACCATTCCAGAGAAATGGCTGTCCAGTCTCTTCTTGAAAACCTCCAGTGATGGAGGACCCACAACTTCTGGAGGCCACTTCCATTCCACCGGTTAATTGTAAAGGGAAGGGCAGAGAGAGCAAGTCGGGGTGTGAACAGAAGAAGCCCCAGAAAGTTCCATATGCAGGACAAGGTTAAACTCCTGGATTTTTGTTTTAGTTGAGGAGAGGGAAGAAGAAAACAGGCCTGAGGCGATGACAAAACACAATAGTCGAAGTAACTGGCCAGACTCAATCAGAAACCGTGTCTTCTAATGGAGGGGGGAATGTCACCCTCCAGAAGGGCGAGGAGCTGAAAGATCTGAATCGGGATTGCGCAATCTTGGCGACCTCAAGACCTGCGGACTTCAGTTCCCAGAATTCCCCAGCCAGCAAGGGATTGTTTGCTGGGAGGTTTCCCCACCCAAACATGGGACGGGAAAGCATGCAGGTTGGTGAAGGGCAGCATTGCAGGCCCTGCCCACAGCCAGGAGCTCGATCCTGACGGGGCTCAAGGTTGACTCAGCCTTCCATCCTCCTGAGGTTGGGAAAACGAGGACCCGGATTGTTGGGGGGGAGGGGCAAGATGCAAATAATGCTTTGACCCTGAAAAGCATCCAGAGGATGCTGTGAAAGGCTATAGGGGGGACCTATGAAGTAATTCCCACAGCACCCTCTCGTCTTCTCATCTTTCCTACTCTCTTCTCCTGTTGGTTTCTTACGATTTATCAGTTGTTGTTTGTAACTTATGATTAATGATTGTCTCTATGATTTATGACCTAGGTAGGACCTATTACTTGCTATTTATATGTACACTGAGAGCTTATGCACCAGAGACAAATTCCTTTTGTGTCTGATCACACTTCGCCAATAAAGAATTCTATTCTGTTCTATTCTGTTCTAATTGCATTCCATTGCATTCCATTCCATCTGTTCTGTTCTGTTCCTGTTCCTGATTCTATTCTGTTCTGTTCTGTTCCATATTCAATTATCTATTCCATTCTATTCTCTATCCTTTTCTATTCTATTCCATATTCTATTCCATTCCATTCTATTCTATTCTATTCTATTCTATTCTATTCTATTCT